AAGTGTTATGAGAGAGGTTAACCAATATCTACTAATAATATTAATCTGCAGAAAATATTCGTTTGTTTATTCGCGCTAATTTCTGAAACTATGAGTCAGATCTTAAAATAAAAAACTATTGCTATTTATGACGAGTTGTGTCATGAGTACTTGCTGTGCCAACGGTCGCGGGTTCGAGTCGCGCTGGAGGTATTAATTTGTGTGATGAGCACGAATGTTTGTACTCCAATCGTGGGTGTTTATATTTATAATATGTCTGTATTTAAAGATATATATGTGTAGTGTATCATCTATCTAGTATCTTATAAGACAGGCCTCGTAGCTTACCATGGAACTAGATGGTGCTGTGTTAATATCTTAACATATTTATTTATTTAAATATACAATTGAAAATAAATACACAAATGAAAATATTAGAAGAAAATAAACATTTATTTCGTAATCTTAAATAATATTTTCATTTATCCCATATTTTATTTAGGCCATAATTATATAGCTTATATCAAAACAAATTCTAATATAGTCAAACATAATCAAGTCATAGTATAAACAGAAAGTTTTACAATTTACAGTTATGTGAACCTATAATACGTGCTGTCCCCCTACTCATTTTACTTTCGATTTCATTTCACCCTTGTTTCAAACTCGCAAATTACGCTGCATCAATAAACGGGCATTTTTGGTAAAGTTTTCAAACAAATTTTATGTAGGGGAGAATGTAGATTAAGCACGCTATACGTCTTATTTGAAGGGGAAACAAAATACATTAAAGTAAGGAATGCATTTAGAAGATTTAAATAATTTAAGGGCAATATAACTTCATCTATCTTAATATATATGTATGTATAATTCTTCTGTACGTGTGCTTGTTAACCTACTCCTAAAGGGCTAGACCGATTTGGATTAAACTGTATGTGTAAATTTTAATGGGTTCCTGGATGGTTTGAAAATACAATTGAACCCGGTAGGTGGCGCTGCAGTTGTTGAGCCACTGATCATCTCCTAAGCGGCAGGGACGATTTACATGATATGTTTTGTGTATGTTCGAGTGGGTCCCTGCAAGGTTTGAATTCACAAATGGATCCGGTAGGTGGGGCTGCAGTCGGTGTGTCACAAAATTTTATAAAAGACTCCATTTTTCGAGCAATAATTAAATTTAAATTGTTGATAAAATAAAATTTAATGTGTGTATGTATGTTTCCTATGGACTCCAAAACAACTGGAGCGATTTTGATGAAATTTTCAGGTAATCTTCAGATTAGCACAGCGGGTGATCCTGAGAATTTTGTTAGCTGTCGGAAGTTTGGACACGGGCGAAGCCGCGGGTAGTACACACAGGGTGGATTATTGAAACGGAACAGACGGAACAGGTACCTTAACTACTAAAGTTACAGGAAAACGTTACTAGCAGACCATTCATAATTTTATGACATATTCTGAACTTCATTCACAGATTCTGGAAAAAATGTACAGTTAGCGAAAAAAATGCCAAAACACCAAAAAAAATTTTTTTCTGTCAAGCGATCCTTTTTCATGTAGAGATCAAAAGACTTTGGGACCATTTAAGGTATGAGTACTAAAAATGATAGAAATCGCCAAAACCTTTTCCCATACATTTTGTACGGAAAAACAATTAATCAACTCGGAATATTCTTTGTTTCCAAACGGTCCTCACTTATTTAAAGATATAGAAACCTTAACAAACAAGAAATAACAAAAATAACAAAACTAAAATATCTCTATATTTTAGCCTAGCCTAGCTTTAAATCGATATTTAAGTATCTTAATGAAAATATAAGTATCAAATATAATCTATAGAAAATCATCGATGTATCGAGATCCCTATCACTATGCACAGTGGCGTCGTCGAAAGGAACACAAATCAACAATTAATATTTTTTCATATAACATGATTACGCAGATAGAATGTAGATAATTATTTTAACTAAAAAGGCATATTTTTTTCTAAAAAGTGAGTCATTTTTTAGACTACTACCTTTTATTTATTAAAAAAAAACATGAATATCAGATGTAAAAGTCATAATTGTTACAGATATCACCCATATTTATATATACATACATACGCATTGAAAAACCACTCGTTTTTGAGTTTGGTAAAAAACTTCATATTAATATATTTTTTTAAATTCAGTAAAGTTTTTTACTATTTATTTAAAATTATTTGAAATAAGGTTAGTAATATTTGAAACTTGAAGCTTTGGACGTGATTTGATTGTGTAATCCACACTTTATTTAACTACCAAACGTTTCAAGACTCTAAGCTCTATCACTATTTTATAACTAATTTCAATTATTTGATTAAAGCTCAAACGAAAGCACTTTGAACGGTAAATAGAAATGAAACAATCACTTAGATCCTTTGTTCCTATCTACATAGCCGACGCTACTGTTAGGTCACTGTTTAGTGTTCATGAAACGTAACTCAAGCGTTTGAATATTGTCTAACGAATAATAACAAAACAAACATTTAGTCCTGCTATTGAGAGCTAGTAATAATAATAATTTACTGATATAACCATCCATAACAATTGTAGACTGGGCAGTATAATAGGTGAAATAAATAAAATAACATTTTTAATTGCAGTACCAATTACACACCCTTGACAGGAAAATGTAACAGAATATATGTATATATATATATATATATATATATATATATATATATATTTATATATATACATATGCTGTACTGCTAGTACTCTCCTGTACAGGCGTCATACCAAAGTACTTGCTGTATTCTCTCCTTATAAATATATACATTATATATGTATCTTAAACTGAAAGATTTTGAAAGATAACTCCCCCTTAATGTCCCAACAAAAATTAATAAAAGTTCTCACTTGGCGTAAGCTCGCTTACCAGTTTCATAATAACCAAATTATATATTTTGAGAAAAAAAAATTAAACTTAAATAATAATATAAGATACCTAGATCGTAACCTAACTAAAATAATACCTAATTAACTAAAAATTACAACCTAATAGGACAGAAACGTTATGTACAAGAACGGCCTTATCGGTTAAACAGCGATCTCATCCAGGCAACATGAAAGTGACAAGTTGAAAACTCTAAAAGGAAAGAGCTGATCTAAAAAATAAAAACTAAACCTACTTAGTTTTATTATACTAATGCCTTTAAAGTTTATATTTAGATCCATTGTTCAGATTTTAAAGCACTGACATAAATCTGTTAGAAAAATAACTAAATCTAGTTTTGATATACCATTGAAAAAACCATATTATTTTTTTAAAACTTTATTATTTCTTTATAATGTTTATTTATTATAGATGTAATTTATTCGTGCACATCGCACAATCAAGTATTATACATACAACAAATATTTATTCTATTGTTACTTGTATACAATAATAAACTTTCCACATAATAACTGGTTATAGTTATCGAGATCTGACGTAACCTAGAGCGAGAAAAAATACTTCGATGAAATATTTATCTCTGTATGACACAAAAATGACTCAAAACTATCGGACAACATGTAAATGATTATATACAATTACCATATAGTTGACGTTAAACAAATATAATATTTAGTATAATTTAATGACAGCAACTGTCGTAAAAGCACTTAGAAACCTCAAACTATAAATGAGGATGTCTTAATAAATGTCTTAGGACGGGGATTTACATGTTATAAAGAGCTAAAATTAAATTAAAGTTTATTTAAACCACATATCAACATTAATTCGTTATAAACAAATCGACTAGACAAATATCGAAGGAAACGATAATAAGATTATTTTACTAAAAGAAAGATCACGATTATTTAGGAATTTACAATTGCGTTAAATAAAATATTATATTATTTATCTAAACTGTAAAATTTATATTTTTTTTCTATTTTAATACTAAAAAATTAGCCTATTTATTAGCTAGGAATATGTTTAATTACACAGACGAAACACAGGCTCTATTGAGTGAGACTTCAGTGATTTGATAGATTCATTAAAAAATAAGTATTTAATTTTTCAAATCGCAGTTTTGAAAAAGTGAGTTTTAATACTTTGATACGTGTACCAGTCAAAGATAATTTTTCTTTTATAATAAGCCTGTGCTAGTCCCATTTTATGATACATTATATTTACAACACTTTAACCCACAGAATAACCACTAGATCGTTACTTACAATTTTACATTCTTATAGAATAAAGCTAGATAGAATGATTCGTATATCTTTATTCATTATATATACAGTCCTTGTATTTCCTAGCGTTTGTGTTAATTAGTATTGTCAGCTGTTTTATCATTCCTGTTTACATCTTTGAAAATTTCAGTTATCCGCATCAATCTTCTTCATAGTTTCTCCATTTCGCTTTTATCACTTTTTCAGAAAGGAAGAACGTGTTGTTGTACAAACTGTGATAGACACTTTAAATTTGAACGTTATAAACATCCTATCTACAATGTTGAATGGCGCTTTTACATTTTCTTTATGGTCGAACGATTATTGTTTTAATTTTCTATATGTAATTTGTTAACTTAACTAATAACTTAAGTTGTGACTTGGATGTTTTATGCTTGTTTGACCTAATCGTTCGAACAATTTCGTAAAAATATAAACGCGCGATGATACTGAATGGATACTAGAAAATATAGCGGTCTAATATTAACAATATAAAAATTAATACACCTTAGAATAGATTATATACAGATCTATAAGAAACAAGCGTGTCTACTTGCTTGGGAAATTAAACTTATATCATACATAACACAACCCACACTATTTATTAGCAACTATTATGCTAGTTATATTGACCCTTGCGGTTACGTCCAAGTATTACCCGACACATTGTTTGTTACACTATAACGCCTAAATACCGTAATTTTTAGTACTGTCTAAAAGGAAGTAAACATTAAAAATATAAAATTCTGGATCCAATCCGTTATATCGCAAGCATCATTATAAACAGCGAAATAGATGAGGTTCTATTTACATTGGTAGTTCTGTTTGCATATGTCAAGATAGAACTAAGAGTAGACTAGCAAGGAGCACGATGCAATGAGTGGTGGTCGGCGCGAAGGCTTGGCCCCCCCTCTGCATCGCGGCGGGATATTCTCCTGACAAAGGAAAAATGGAATTTGCTTCTATGGCAAACATTAAAACCGTCCTCAACAATGGTATTGTCGAATGAACATTGAAAAGTAAAATTATATATTATATAAATATTTTACCTAGTATAAGTAACTATATAATAAAATTTAAATGTCAATTTCCTTGGAGATCGTGAGTTCGATATTTGGGTGGGTAAGAAGATTTCATCATACGGATGTTATTGTTAATATACCAGGATAAAATGATGAGAAAATGTTTAATTATAACGCGGAAATTTCTAAAATTCAAATGAGTTTCAAAAATTTCAACTCTCAGCGTCATAATGAAACACTAAACAAATTACACAGCTTTAAAATGTTCGTTGTGTTGCGACGCACAATCTAATTATAAGATTGTTCGTCATAAAATAAGTCAACACTCTAATTTAACCTACGTTTCATTCCTTTGATTCATTGCTGTCGTTGTTTTAATGGTGCTAGCCACGTTTTATTCCGGCTTGGGATTTAAAAATATTTTCTCCGTTGTCTTTGCTGAGGTCGTTTATCAAAGAAATTGGGATCCTCCTAATAGATAGTGCTGTCATGAGCTTTAGATATTATATTTTTCGTAAAAGATTGCCCTTTTTGAATTATGTTAAATCGTAACTTATGAAATAACACTTTTTTATTATTTTTCTTCATAGAATCACCTGTGTGTGTGCTAAATGAAAAAGTAGCGTTCTATAAAAGAATATATAAATGTATTTTATGTGAAACTTTAATGAGATTGCACTCTTATGTAATATGGCTTATCTGTTATATAGAAAGCAGAATCTAATACAGTTTTCAGAAATTGCCATAAATCCTTACTACTGATCAGAAACTCATTTAATATACTAAAAATAATTATTATTATAATTTTAAGGTATTTTCATTATATAAATGTAGACTACTCACCGTTTAGTACGTGAACCACTATACTTTTAGACTGAGCGTTGCTCGGGTTGCATTGATAAGTTCCAGAATCCGAAGGCCTTGCCTGTTGAATTAGCAGGAAGGACGTGGTCGTTTCACCTTTCTCTGTCACCACTGACACACCGCCTCGAGGTGAATCGTAGCTTATTATCTATAGGAAAATATAACATAGACTAATATGTATATCCTTTTAAAAATATTAATTTTTGTAAACGAAAACAAAGTATGTAAGATAATATAGTGAATTCTCTAATAGTTTACTCTTATAATACAGTCGTCAGGTAAGTATAACAAAGTCAAAACGGGCAACTAAAGTAATTTTCGTTAGAAAGAAACCTACAATTTTTGCTCAACCAGGACTCGAACCCAGAACCTTAACTAGTAAATAACTAAACCAACAAGATTATGGTAATACATATTACTTCTATTATAATAAGCAAGAAATTATCATGTTACCATTTTTGGGTTTATTTTTGTTTCAATCTGCTGTTTGAGTCATTAACCACGTTGATAAAATAGATAGAAATAATATATTTTTAACAGATGCTTTAAAAAATACTAAAAATATAAGCACATTTGGGTAAAAATCTCTTAAAATAATTGGATAACATATTTTTTTCATCTAATCTAAAATTTAAACTTCTATTATTTAAAATACAAGTACATTTTTTATCAAGCAAACATTTTAACGGTATCAATTCAATAAAAAGCTTTATATTTAGTTAAATTATCAACAATAATAATTTATGATAAATTATAATTACCGCATCGTTATGGTTCCAGAATATGTACGCGGGGGGCTCGGGAGAGTAGAGCACCACGCATGTTAAGTTGATAGTACTGCCCCGATCGATATATAGGTCTGGACCGCCTATTATTTCCGTCGTTGGCTCTAAAAGGTTGGAAGATATTAAAATACATGTTATTATTTCATTTTTAGTACACGTACAGAGTTTATTTTAGCCTTTCTATTATAACCCAGTCAAATGAGGTAAAAAAGAGGCAAACTTAGAATCAAATGAAATATATAAATTGTATTTATACACTTTTGTTTTAGCATTTTATATTATGTTAGCTCAATCTCATATAATCTACGTCATAGGTTATCAAAGGTTAAAGGTTAAAGTCATTACAAAAGTTTTTAAATTCAATTTTTTTGTACTTATTATGTAAAAACTATTAAACGTTTTTGAGATAGATTGTAATTGTGCCGGATTTAAACTTAGCGCCACCCTAGGCACTGTAAAAAACGCCGCCCTATTATCAAAATTTTAAATAAAATGTTGAAAGTTTAGATTATTTTAATTATTACTATTTTTTTGGAAAAAATGCAAAAAAATAATTTATAAATCATATCAATTTTTCGAAAAATGTACCTACTAGTTAATCTTTTTTTTGGAAAATAAATAAACGCATTTTCGATAATGCGAAGAAATTTTTTTTCCGCCCTCCGAGTCTTGCTGTCCCTAAAATTTTGCCGCCCTGAGCACTAGCCCCAAATGCCCCTAGTGTAAATCCAGCGCTGATTGTAAAGTTTATGCCTAATTTTTTTACATTCTCAGGTTAAATCCTTATTTGTATACAATGTACACGTATAATATTATGTTAAACGGTATATTTAAATATTTATCTTTCCAATAACAGTTTATAATTAACCTTCTATTCAACTTGATCTGTCTGGTTTATTTTTAATCTATAAGGCTTTTGTTTTTTTTTATTGAGATTCAGCATTATGAAAATCTTTCTACTATATAGTTATTAAATCTCAAGTATAATTATTTCTAAAAAATATCAAGTTATTTTAAGAAACCTTTTTTTATACCCGTATAAATAAGATCCACTACAAGTATTTTTGATCAACTATAATATGCTATATGAATAATATGTGTAAGTTATTTTTAAGTCAATCGGTTTTTTTTAATAACATGATGTAACACCTCAGTCTCTCCCGTGACCATGAATGCTGTAAAGCATTCGAAACGTTGGGAACCAAAAATCCAAATAAATCCGCGAAAAAATCCGAAAAGATAGTTTTATTAAAAATGTCAAATATTCGCGTAAATCTAAGAAAGTATTATGTCTATCGTTTTTTTTTGTTCTTTTAAAGGATACTTATTTTCCAAAGTAAATTTAACTATTGAATAGTTTTCGTTCATTTAAAATAAATGCAAAGTCTGTCGTTAGTCATACACAATTGACAGTACTTCAAAAAGTAACCAATTTACTATAAACCTGCGATAGCGAAATAAAAGCATAACAAGCAATTTATAAATTCATGCTCGTATTAAACCAAAATGAATGATTCAATATGATGATTTATTATTTTATTTTTATGCTAGCGGTCGTGGGTTTGAGTCCCGCTGGGGGCATTTATTTATGTGATGAGCACGAATGTCATGGGTGTTTGTTTATATTTAAAATACTATGTATGTGTGTATTTAAAGTTGTAATATATGTGTAGTGTATTAACTATCTGGTATCTATAACACAAGCCTCGTAGCTTACCATGGAACTAGATATATATATATATATATATATATATATATATATATATATATATATATATGTATATATATATATATTTATATAATATATATATATATATTTGTTCTAGTAAGTTTTGTTTAACAAATGAGATATATACCATTTTATTCAAAACTACCTATATTCTCGTTATTATGTGATTACAAAATAATAGCTATATAATTGCCATATAATTGGTTATATGCGTGTTTCTGTCTATTCAATTTATATAAACTTATATAAACTATAAAAAAAACTCATTCAGTCAACTTATTATTCATTTAAATGAAAATAATAATACCTGCTTTCTATACTAAAAAAAAATGCTACTCAAAGGATATGGACTTAAGCTCTAAAATATTACTCATTAAATTTAAATATTTATAGGAATTTCTAATCTTTTTTATATAAGTAAAGAAATGCTGCAGAATAATGGATAGAAGTTTTAATTCTTCATTCCAGATACGCCTTAATCCGCGGTCTACATACTCTGCTTCTTTAAGTCCCACTGCTGGGCTCGGGTCTCCCTTCAATCAAGAATGAAACCATAACCCATAATTCTGGCCAAGTGTGGGTTGAACTTCACTTCAGCTCGTGAACTTCACATGCCTTTAAAAAACTTGTTATGTTCTTTCAGAGATGCAGGTTTCCTCACGATGTTTTCCTTCACAGTATAAGCAAGTGATAATCATGTTGGAAATGATTCGCACATGAAAATATCAGAGGAGTGAGACAAGTAATTTGAACCCACTTTACTTGATTTTCCAAGCGATAAAAATACCATCGACTATCACTGCTACTACAGCTTACAGCTAGTAAATTCAAATAAAATTAACTATTCTACCAACTAGAGACCCGTTAGATAAAAAATATGTACAAGCAACGGTTTCTCTTAACTCCGTAAGAAATTAATTTCAGTCTCCAAGACGTTTTTTACAATACCCTAGGGTAGTCGCCTCTACGGACTTTTATTACTTGATAATAATAAACGCCTAGTGATAAACAACGTTTATGTTGACAAAGTTTTTATATCGAGATATTCATTTACAAAACTGAACTTAGACTGCGACATTTTAATATAATGACCACATTAATTTATCAGTGCTATGTAAAATGATGAGATGCGCGATAATACCGATAAAGTATAAAAAACATTAAATTTTGTTTAATATTACTTACATTACCTAGTTCTAGTCTATAGGTACATATAATAAAATTGTAACTAAGTCGAATCTGTACATTAAATATTTTTTGAGTAAGACTGCATGTGTGAGAGAACTTAGTAAGTTTTCGAGAGACATGTGAAGCCTACCAACCCGCACTTGGCCAGCGTGGTGGTGTATGGCTTGATCCCCGTCATTTTGAAGGAAGGCCTATGCCCAGCAGTGGGACGTTAAATGGCTGAATACAATGTACAATTAGGGATAATATCTAATAACATACACAATACACATACAAGAAAACAGTCAAGATTGTTAAACTCGATCTTAAAGATAGAGTAATGAAAAACGTCCAATCCAACCAAAGAACGAGCGAGCTTGACTACATAAATTGATATTTTTTTTTACAAGAATTAAAAACAAAAATGTACTTATTATTAAATTTCTTAGTAATACTATATCTCAATAATATATTTACTTGCTTGTGATTTTAAATAACTATAGTTTTTTTTAAATAATTATATTCTATATTTATATATGGGCCGGATATCATTTTAACGTTTATCATAGTTTCCTTGAAGGACATTATTTTAATACGATCTCTGTAGTAAAGGTTACTTAAAGAACAGTAATATTACCTTTATTTTTAAACACTTTAATCAACAAAATTCTGTTTTCAAATATACTATTTACTTTATATAGATGTTAAATAAATAATATAATACATAATAAATAATTTGCGTGCAAATTAAGGTATGGGACTCGAGTAAAACTTGTTTTCTTTCGTGCGTGCCCTTAATGTGCCTCGCATAATTATGAAACTTGTTCAGACGTTAACATTTTAGTACTCACTAATTCGTGGCGGCTCGTGACTCGTGAGGCTTACTTTGGAATAACTTTTTAACAAAATTCTACATAATATGTCGGTTTATGATACTTCAATTTTCTCCTTTGCTAACTTTGACACAGTTAAGTCTAAATATATTTTTCTTATGTCACTATACTTGAATGCCCAGGAGACTTTAGAGACATTTTACTTAGACTTTTCATATATTACACAGATTTTAGTCTACGAAGTATATGAAATTGGTTGGTTTGTATGTTTTTACACTTTTCATTTTGTTTTTCATTTTAATTAAACTCACTTCAAATAGAAATGTTACTTCAAAACTTTCCATAAGTATGGACCCATCTTTATTTTTATTCCTCTGGATTATTGCTCGTAAAAATATATTTTTATTCATAAATATCTTACATAAAAAAGTCGCATAACGGAAATGACTGTCCAATTAAAATTTACATTTTGCAAAACGGCGCGATTTTAAATTGCTGCCGCAAATAAATCTTTGCACTACATCGTAATTTTTGTTCTACTATCCTATTTTATATGTATTTTTAAATGTAGTTACGTAATACTCGAAATGAAATGAAATAAAATGAAACTTATATTCAAGTAAAATTATATAAGCACTTATGAATCGTCAATTTAATTGAAAGAGCGTCAATGTCGTCAGTCCGTGAGGAAGCTACCACTGCACCGGCTCGTAAAGCAGTTCTGCTGAGAAAAGCCGGCATGAATTTATTAATATTATATATATATATATATATATATATATATATATATATATATAGTACTACATATTTCAATATCATTAACAATATAACTTTTGAATTAAACATTTTAGTATTTATTATATTTTTTAATTTAATTTATTTAAAAAGGATTTTAAAATACGATAACGAAATAGAAACATAGCACATATTTTCGAATATTTTTTAGTGTAATATGGTGTAATAGATAAAATTAAAAGTCATTAATTTTTTCGATTAATGTCAATTTACCAATATAATAAATCCTATTAATGGTGACATTATTATTTTTAAAGAAAATGTAAATTTTAATATATAAACAAAACATGAAAATGATAACTCAAATGAAAAAATATGTACGTATAAAATTCCGTTATCATTCACATGTTTTGGAATAAACATTAAAATCGTATAGATTTTTATGTAAAACAAAATTATATCATAGAGATTCCTCATACAAACTTTCATCCCCATTTTCACCCCTTTAAGGGATTATTTCCGGGGTAAAAACTATCCTATGTCCTTCCCAGAGTCTCAAACTATTTTCTTACCAAATTTCATCTAAATCGGTCTAGTAGTGGAGCTTATTCGGTACAAACAAACAAACAAAAAAACCTTTTCTTTTTATAATATTAGTATATCTATACACAGTACTCACCAACAACATTTAAATGTATGAAATGACTCATATGTGGGGTCGTTGATATCTGACACTCGTAGATGCCAGAGTCTCTGTGTTGTGGATACTTTATCTGTAACAAAGGTAAGTTTAGGTTAGTATTATTGATTTCCAAGTATATTTTATTGAATTTTCTCGTCTACTGAATTTTGTTTGACAAATAAATAATAATAAATTTGATTTATTGTAATTTATATTTTACTTGAAACAATCTTTTCGAATATTATCGCGGTTTTTTTTATAGCTTGTTGATGTTTAGCTTGCTTCCCAATACAAACTTTCATCCCCATTTTCACCCCTTTAAGGATTGATTTCCGGGATAAAAACTATCCTATGTCCTTTCCAGGGTCTTAAACTATCTGCTTACCAAAGCTATCTATCATCTAAATCGGTTCAGTAGTTTCGGAGCCTATTCGGTACAAACAAACAAATCTTTCCTCTTTATAATATTACGAGGAGTATTGATATATTTTATTTTTTTGTTCCAAATTTTTCAAATGGTTTACAGGAGAATAAGGATTTAGAAATCTTCAAGGTTATTACATAGTTGTAATGAAGTTGTTATCTATCTATGTATATATAAGAACCAATTACTGTTCGTTAGTCTCGCTAAAACTCAAAAATGGTTTGACCCATTTGAAGAATTTTTTTTTTATTTTGTTGTTTGGGGGTGTGTCAGGGGTGGTTTAAGCATAAAAAATAGGGATAGCAAAAAAAACTGAAAAATCTAAGAGTTCAGAACTGTTTATTTCGTATGGGAATCATTAACCGTTAAAACGTACCTAGAGACGAACTCGAGCGAATAAAAACGCGGTAAGTCGCTAGTCTTTTATAGAATAAAATACAATAAAAAAAATATTTGATATAGAACCAGGTGTAGTATTATGTGATGTGGTAATACTATAATTTAATTTTGTTATTTTGCGTTCAGCTAGTACATAAAATCCTGCATTGTTCTATTCCTCCTTTCTGAGCTCTGTCTTTAACAATGGTTGCTAAAATATTAACTTTGTATGGAAATCTAACCCATGACATTCATTCACAAGTTAAACAATATTCATTATAATACGTAGGTTTCTGCTGAAAAGGAAAACGTCAATAGTGACGTAAAAACTGGACTAATATCGATATGCTACGCTACAGAGCTCTTAAAAACTTTGATAGTTTCCATAAGCACAGTATCTGTAAAATATCTGCACAGAGGTGTATTATTTAAGCATGGTCAGAGCTAATCTTTAAAATCTTACTTCTACGCCTATTTAATGTCTCTCAAAGTACTTGTTTTAAAGAAAAATGGTAGTAAAAACACCCATTGGTGTTTATATTTACAGTATAACTTAATAGAACAGTTAATGTGAGAAGAAACTTTACTCTTGTGAGAATATTCGCAATAAGACCAAATAACATGATCTCAAAAGATGCTTTGAAAATTATTTTTACTGTCTGATTTTATTATGATGGATATTTTTTTGTAAATAATAAATTAAAAATTTTGTAATTAATAAAAGGAATTAGCTACATATATACATCCTTTAAATACTATGTAAAGCATAGTATATACTCGCATTGAACTACCTCGGTGGTTTAATGGCTAACATGCAGCTACAGGAAAGAAGGTCATGCGTTCGAGTCCCGAGTCGGGTTAAGATTCGTGTTGGAATTTTTCTGTTAACAAATTTTCTATTAAGAGTGAAATTGGTGGTGTTTCACCCCCGTGCCTCGGACAGCATGTGTCGCGTCGGTCGATTGATCTCTCACGGCGAGTGTCGAGTTGTAGTCACATCGGAGTATGTGGGTGACAGAAATATACAGTAAACGTCTTGTGTTTTCTCACATAATATATGTAGGTACTGTAATATCTCTTGCGCAGTTGGTTCGTCTCAGTGAGATTGGACGCCGTGACCGAAATGGGCAAGGATGACATTGTTATTAATGCATATTATATAATAATATTTAAGGTCTGAATTCAACATTTTAAAGGGTTTCATGAAACTTTTGTTAATTTTATTAGAGTTTATACGCAAAGTAGAAACTTAGGCATGGTTATTATTTTCGTTATGAAATAAAATCAATTCATACAGATAAATAAAATTGAAGTATATGTTTGTAATGTCAAATAACAGCGTTCACTAAATGCATATGAAATTATATACGGAACTTATAAAAAAAATACAATTTGTTAAATTTTTGTCTGTCTGTCTGTTTGTTCCGGATAATCTCTGAAACGGCTGGACTGACTTGGGCGGTCATGGTTGTTTATATTTATAATATGTATGTATTTAAAGTTAAATATATGTGTAGTGTATCAACTATGTGATTTCCATAGCATGGGACTAGTAGCTTACCATAAAACTAGATGGTGTTGTGTGTTAATGGTTATCATATTTATTTATTATTAAAGAAATTAAAATGTCATAAAAAAAACTCCCGTTAATATATTTCTTATTATGGTTTCAGTTGCTAAGTAAAAGAAGGTTGTATACATATTTTTTAATAAAAAAAAATGCATTATATTATATTTGGCCTCTACTAAATATATCTAAATACTCAGCGTACAATAGCAACACTATTTCGATTCAAAAACTTTTATTTTTACCACATACAAAGGACATTATTCAGATGGTAAGCTTCTCTACTGTAGAAAATATAAAAGTTTTAAAATTCCAAATGAAAAGGTGAAGTAGAATAATAAAAACATTTACGTTTAAAACTTTACGTATTTAAAATAATATATATTGTTATGCTTATGTCATATTATGTGGGATGAGAATGTATACTAATTTAGATCTTTTTTAACATTCCACCTCTAGCACAGGCCTCTCTTCTATACGAGGATCGGAGGCCATAGTTAAAGCTGGCTAAGTTCAGGCGGACTTTACATAGCTTTCGATAATTTTGTCGGTTGTTTCATATAATACGGTAGTTTCCTCACGATAATTTCTCCATCACAAGGCAAAATGATCAAAATGTTGAAAATTATTCCTATATGGAAATATCGGAGATACAAGACCAGGGGTTTGAAACCGCTTAATTTAGAGGATTATAGCTAATCTAGTTATGACAAAGTATGTGATTGGGAAATTCCACCTATCTACGAACCTATACGTGTTATTTTAATATTAGCAGAAACAATAAGCGGAAGAAAGAAAGCTTAAAAAAATTAAGCTTCATATTTACATTTATTGAATTTAAGTTTAGTGAAAAAAAGTGCGTTTTTGTGCAATTCACACATGTTAGTAGTGAAACTTCAGAAAAGTAACCTACGAGAGAATGAGATGAATATAGAGTATCAGAAGTACGATAATTATAAGGTTTATTTTTTTTAATAATATTTTTACCAAGCTTAAAAGTTATTTTAAATTTTAATTGACATAAATATACATCACATATTATTCAGTAATTAATTTTATTATTTTTCACTTCCTGTGTAATGTATTCTATCTCAAATAACAACGGTTACCGTGGCAATGTGGCAATGTTATCTGTCTCATTCTTTCGCCGGCTTAATAATACTATATATTTATGTGTTTGTCTCTTTTTAGTGTTGCACTTCCGTTTCATTGAGTTTCAAATCACAACGACTCTAAAGAAGTTTCACTTTAAAAAGATAGAGGAAAAAAACGAGTAATATTAAAATTATACGTTCATTGTTTGATAGAAATATCCTACGAGCAAAAACATACCATAGATAAAACGCTACAAAAATACATATTAAAACGAGATAAACATTCTAGAGATGAAAGTAACATCTTCCTTGAAATTCATATTTGTGCCATTTTGGGCGGAAATACTGAAAATGTGAGGCTTAAATTCTGTTTAAATACCTTTCAGGTCGTCTTATTGAGATCTAAAAGCTACCGTCGTGCGAGTGAGTCTGGTCTACAAAGAGGGTACTTTCCCAGTACTTTGAGCACAGTATCTCACTGTAATAATAGATTGGAAGCATTCGAGTATCGCCTCTTGAACGGGTTAATTTGCTATCTATATCGCTTATAGAAAATAAATATATATAATAGATTATATTATAACACCTCCAGGTAAATTTCTAAGAAATTAATTAAATTTATAAGAAATCTATTGTTAACTGAAACGCCGGCGTGTCCGCGGTCGTTGAGGGATGAATATGCTTATTTTTTATCATTTTTGTAATAAAAATGTATATTGTATACTGTATAGCAACTCGGGTTATATAGCTATAACGAAAGTGACTAACTATTAACGAGAATTTACCTCAAGCGATAATTATCTCATCTGTAATATTATAGAATTCAAAACCTTTTTGTTTTAAAACCCACCCTTTAATGTAAAATTTTTAAGAAACTAATAATGTAGTTAGTGTCTAGAAATATCCGCTACTTTCTTCTATGGCTTAGGATGCTTTTAAAAATATACGCTTTAAAGTTGAATTCATATCTTTTTTTCAACCGACTTCAAACAAAAAGGAGGAGGTTCTCAATTTGACTGTTTTTTTTTTTAATTTGCACAACCATATACACAAGCTAAAATTATAATAAGCCAAAATTTCACATAGTGTTAATGATCATTTTGTGTTCGGAGGGTTTTTATAGTGCAAGAGAACCCAATCAATAGATTTCAAAACACGTTGTTATCTCTTATTATATTGTATTGTATCCCTTGAATACAACCAAATCCAATGAAAGTTTTAATTAAATATCTCATCGGCTTAGTTACAAAAGTTGCTAAGCATTATATTAATCATTTAAGATATTTTTAAGACGTAACTTTTGTCGCTTAAACAAAGTAGTTGTCACGTTTTATTGAAGAATTTAATAACATTTCAGGCATGTAAAACCACTGGCGTAAACTAGTGTTACACATTTTTGTAAATGCAATTTAAAAAAAATCTAAACCGATTGAAGGTGAAAGGTCACCATCATACGTTTACTTTATGTTAGTTTACTTTACAAAGAGTGAACTAATAGGGGCTTCATTGTATACTCGACCTTTGCTATGTTTTTCTCTATTATACAGGATGAATAAAAAACTAAGGCTTTAAAAGGCAAGCCAAGAATATTTCTATTCAAAAATTCTAAAGAAAATGGAATTTTACTAAATTCAAAATGAGTTCTTTAGAAAATTTTAGAATAATTCATATGATAATGTTATTGTTGTCAAATATTTTTCGACACGTATGGCTTAGTTTGTAGTGACTCTACTTGTTGTACCAGTGATCGCGGGTTCGAGTCCCGCTGGGGGCATTTTTTTGTGTGATGAGCACGAATGTTTATATTCCAGTCATGGGTTTATATTTATAATATGTACTTATTTAAAGTTATATATGTGTAGTGTATCAACTATCTGGTATTAATAACTCAAGTCTCGTAGTTTACCATGGAACTAGATGGTGCTGTGTATTAATGCCCAACATATTGTCCCAACATATTTAAAATATGTTAGGCAACCCTCATGTATGGGGATCACCGAGCTTGCACCAACCACCAACATCATATACGCACCTTCACAGCGTCACTTTCGTGTTTCAGCATAACTTTCGCACGAAACACATTTTTGTTCAAGACCTTATTACTGCATTCATTGATTATACTTCGATCATGTAATCACTTAAAAATAATTAGTTTGTGAAACATTTATTATAATAAAGTATTTTTTAAGTTAAAGTAACATTACTTTGACCTACTCTGTCTGTGACTTCTATAATTAATCCCTCAACGACCGTGGACACGCCGGCGTTACAGTTAACAATAGATTTCTTAGAAATTTAATTAATTTCTTAGAAATTTACCTGGAGGTATTAATAACATTTATGCTTACTATCGCAAATATAATGATATTTATTTCATGTTTTTGTTTCAACACAAGCTGTTGCCTTCGACTACTAATTGTTGTGAACGTGTTAATCTGAAAGTTTCTTTTCACTCCAGCTTTTTATGTTGAAAGTTTGATTTTATGTTAAGAGTTCATTAAGTAATAATTAAATTAGTAACGATACATTTTAAGTATTATTTCGTGTGCTATAAAACTTTAAGCTACTTTACACGTAATAGTGTGTGTTTCCACACTATTATTTTAAACATTCTATATAATTATTCTATATATATATATATATATATATATATTATATATATATATATATATATATATATATATATTATAGATTTCATAGGGCTTTTGTATAATCAAATAATCAGGGCATTATTTTAGTAATGATAAGAAACCAGAATCTTGCAAAAGAAACCAAAACTGGGGTTCGTGGCGCGATACAATTGCTAAATAGCCAAAATGAGCGCGTCTGCGCTGCCACTATAATTTCAATAATATTATTAGGTATGATGAGGAAGAAGAGCAAAAACTACCAAAAAAAATTTTTTTTATATTTATATACAGTGGTAGTAATAGTAAATATTTGTTAATTTTCACCTTTCTCCAAATCCAAATTACATATAATCCAAAGTAGGAAAAATATAACAACAAAGTCAAAATATAATGTTCTAAAAAAACCTTTTTTAAATAAAAATTATCGAAAAAGGTCGTTTGTTTTAGTTTTTATTTCAAATTAAACACATTAGTGTCTTTCTAGATGCCTAACAGCCCTATTCTATTTGTATACTAAACATCCATCAATGTAAAGACGAAACAAAGATACACATAAACAAACTTATACATTTAAAGCAGCAATCGGACCCGTTTCTGTTCCTAAAATCAAAAATTCCATCTAAAATTCTTACTTGTAACGTCCAGTCTTCTGAATGAGGAAGGTGAATCGCTCTAAACCTTTGGTCGCTTGTGTATGTGTACCGACCAACAGTTAGCAGATGGATGTCCCGATGCCGCACCCACGAGACTTGCATGTTGAGCTAAAACAAACGCCAGTAAAAGCATTTAGTTAGAAACATTCTATCGATATTTACACAAATTGTAGCAAAATGTAATTTTTTATTAGCAAATTCATTTACTTATGTTTTTCTTGTAATACTATTATTCGAATAAATTAAAGGCAATAAATTCTTTTTAGTACATATTTTCATACAAAAACACATTAATTTGATTAATTTATTTCTTTATAGCTACAAAAGCTATGTTAGACGGTTTATCTGTTCAGTTTGCTCGGGTTCGTCCCTAGATACGATTTAAATAGATAAAAATAGTTATTTTTAGTGTACCCTAGGAGATAGACACATCCCGGGGGAGAAGCCAACTCCTACCGGGCGCGTCCCCAGGTGGCGGATAGGGGAATGCCACCCGCTTAGGGCGGCGGGTGGTACCGGAGAAATCCGGCGCGGACCAAATGGCTTGGATGGGGCCGCTCGTCTAGGCCTCGAGCCGAAGACTTTGCGGCCACCGGTGGTGGGTCCGCTTGGTCCCACAACCGGATGATGGGTGCCGGTTGCGGGACTGTGGTCGCAGGCCCGCATCCGGCGGAGGGGTAGGCCGCGGCGGGAGAGGAGTGCCGGTATTTCGGTGCGCCGTTCTCCCTACCTTCCTCGGCCTAGACGGAGCCGCCACCGTTTGATGGCGGACGCGGTGGGGCTGCAGGGGAAGAGGAGAGTCGGTGTTTCGTTGCCGCTCTCCCTGTCCTCTGCAGCCGATTGGAGGTGGCCCACTTCGGTGGGCGGAGGTTCGGTTTTATGGAGCTGCTCCGGGTACCTCTCTGGTATAGCAGAGTTGACTGTGGAGCAGCCCCATCGGTGTGGTGGTCAGCCGTTGGCAGACCTGCCGCCGGGGCGCCGTAGTAGTTATGCGCAAGCGATCCTGCGGCGTCCCATTAAGGCGGAGGGGAGGGGAATGTCGGGTTTTAGTGGGTAGTACCGGCTCTTATAGCCGGTGAGCCCCACATCACCACCTGGGGGATCAGGTGGAATGCGTAAATGCATTTCCCGACATAAAAAAAAAAAAAGGAGTTAGACACATGACTTATTAAGACGTACAATTTTCTAGTACAATGTTTTAATGTAACCTAACAGTACAAAAACTTTTCTTTTTTGCCAAAACACCGTCATAGTTCAACCATTTTGAACAAAACACCTACAAATACACACAAATTGTTTATCACTCTTTCTATTAGTGAAAACTGTATCGAAATCTGTTGCGATGCTTAAAAGAAGTAAGCGAAGAAACAGAGGTAGATAGCGATTTTGTTTAACAATATGTAATTAACTTGTACAAGCCTATACATATACACTACCGTCCAAAAGTTTGGAAGCACATCTGTTTTTTAACAAAACAAAAGATTGCCGACTATGTGCGGTAAAAATTAGCAGAAAAACATATTTTACGACCTTTTACGATTGTTTACACAAAACAAAAGGATTATCATTGCACATTCATGAAGTTTTAACAAATTTCTTGATTTTGACGAAACACGTGTTTATTACTTAATCCGTCGGGTGCTTTCTTTTATAAATATTTTGTAGTTTTATCTTTTTTGGATCTTATTTAGTCGCACTTGAGCATTGACACGCGAAAGTTGTGATATTATCATTTCGAGCAGTACTTTGACCGTAATTTTTTTATGAAAATGGCAAAACGTAAGCAAATCACTCTTAAATCAAAATTTTAAGTATTAGAGAATTGAACCTTACTTCACTCAGAGTTTATGCCTAATTATTAGCTTTACCTACCTTTATACCTTCACTTCTTCAACTCTGTTCAAGTTGTTATTCATCAAAAAATTCAACAAAAATAAATCTAGTATTTTATAGATTTTTTTATAGTGTAATAATTCTAAATTAGTTTTAAAATGTAAGAGAGAAGATAGAAGCCAAATTGAATTTGTATTCATTGTTGGAACAAATGAGTATTTATAACAAACTCGTTGTTAACTTTATCACTTCTCCAGTAATATTCTCGAAGATTATCTTCGAACGTAAAATTTTGAGATTTACTAGAATTTGAAGACATTTATATCGCTTTAACTTTAAAATGAGATTCTAAGTGAGATATAACAATGGGTCATATGAAACAATGAACCCAATCATTTAATTAAGACAGTTGATTAAAAACTTTTAGATCCGGTGAAGGTCTAATTAAAAATGTATATTTTGAGACTATGTAATTCTTTTAAAGCTCAAATTGAAACTTTAACCAGATTTATTTACGATCAAAGCTTTCAAGTAATTGCGTAACTGAATTTCAAAATGTTCTCATGAATATCCGTATTATTTCCGTATTAATCTTATAAATGTAAAAGTTTGTGAGTATGGATGTTTGTTACTCTTTCACGCCAGAACGGCTGAACGGATCTGGATGAAATTTAGCACAGAGATAGATTATAGTTTGAAATAATACATAGGCTACTTTCTATTCCGGAAAAATGTACGGTTCCTGGGGATAGTTTTTTTTTGATTTCCTAGAGGCGAACCGGAGCGAAGCGAGAGTGAGCCGCTAGTAATTATATATTTATTTTTACTTGTATTCACCCAGTGATCGAAATTTGATTATAATATTTTTTTTTATTGATATAACTAAAACTGGTCAATAGTTCCTAAACAAATATATCCATATAGATACATACCTAACATAATATATATACATAGATACTTTAATTACAGTTTTTTGTAACTTATCAAATACCAAGAGCTTTAGAGAGCAAAATTTCTTTATAATCTATACTAGAATCTGCATTACAAGAAATCTCGTAGTAAGCATGTAAGGACACTAATTATAGGAAATAATACAACCTGTGTATATATAATATTTTAGATGGACACCAGTAGGCAAATGGTATTTTAAACAGTAATAAAAATAATTTATACACAGATTATTTACATATATATTATATACATATAACAAAATTCCAACTAAGCCGAATCTGTACATTAAATCATTTTTGGAAAATCTTATTGAAAGACATTACTATCGATACAGAGGCCTAATCTAGAGTTTTTAGAATTTTTGTTTGTCTCTCTGTCTGTCTGTACAGAAAGACAGACAGACGCACTGCGGTCATAGGACCGTATCACGGGAAAAACCACTGGAGGGATTTTGATGAAATTTGGTATGATGATAGCTGGTTATCAGGGTCAACATATATGATACTTTTTACTGCAGGAAAATGTCTTATTTCTGAGAAAAAATACAAAAACTGAAAATCTCTGAGCAATCTATACTAAACTTTAAAACGCGAGGGTGAGTCACTAGTTATTTATAAGTACGAGTAAATTTGTATATAGCATTTTCTCATTAAAACTATGGTAATTTTAGAAGTTCATTGGTTTGATACTAATATGCGCGTACCTTTACCCTTCCGTTTCGAAATAGATTAGGTAGCGTCAAAACCAACGTTGTAAATTGATATATAATACTAACTAATATATAATTCCGAAAATGTGTTTGTTACTTCATTACTTGCACTTTATTACGTAAGAATATTATCAATAAGTTAAATATCGAATCACAAAAACTTACCACGACCAAGTTTTTTTCCTGTAATCCGTTGATAGAGTTTTGGGGTATAGTAAGACAGTATAAAAGTTACATTTCAAAGCATTTACTGGAAATGTCACCAAATTAGAGAAAAATATTAGAAAATGTGAGTGATGATAACATATTAAAAAGCAAAATATTAAAATAACCTACAGTTCGTACTATAGATATTACCTATATTCTAAATAAATTTCTACAATTTTTCTATATTATATATATATATATATATATATATATATATATATATATATATATATATAATTGGTATATACATATGTACAATATATGCAATATGTATATAATATTTTTCATATACTACATTGATTAAGCTTGTATTTTCTTCCACGCCGCATATACATACATATATTGGCTGAAAAAGGCTTTTTTAGAAAAACGTATATCTCTGCCTCTGCTAACATTAAGCGTTTTAAGTATATGAAAACATGTAACTAACAAAAAAGTTGATAAATTGAGTTTACGAAGACATTACAGCACAAAAAGGTACCACAAACTACCAGGTGGCCTAGAAGCTACTTTTTAATTAAATTAGCTCTAGAAGTAGGTTACGACCTCGATCGTGCATCGTATTGAATAAAAATCCAAACTTATGATCTCGTTAGTGAAACCTGTTGGAACAGTAAATGGTGCTTCAGATCGTAGTGCAATTGCACATACAGTGTTAGACGCCCCATTGCCTTCTAGCGTCTGCATTCGCATTACCATATTATCTAATTTCATTGCCCGCAGCGTTCATTAGGACGTATTAAGATTTTATAATATAAACAGCTAGCTTTAATTATACTTATTTTGTTATAATTAAATATAATAATAATATAATTATTTATAAAGAAATATATATAATTATTTTGTTATAATTAATACTATGTTTTAATTTAAGTAATTATGTAAGTATTACAGTCGAAAAAAGCTGCGATGGTAATTTAATTTTCTTATCTTCTATGGTTGTTATTTTAAGTTTATTTCAATTACATTTTAATGTAATATAACTTTAAGAAAAAGTGCTTCACTCAGTTTCATAGTACAATGCCGATATCAACTTAATACAGATTGATTTTAATGTAAATATATAATATTTAAAAATAAATACCTCCCTCGCATCTGGACGTTTGTTTTTTATGCATTCCTAAACCATTCAAGTTTAGGGAGGTAAGTCGCTAGCCTGTTATGAGTATAACTTAATCAATATATACAATATTTGTAGAACATGTAAATGATAAATGTAGAGTGCCCTGTGTTTAGAGCTAGAATCATAGAGAAATATTATCATAGTTAAAGTTTTATAGGTCAGTGTTCAAAGCATAAACTGTAGATTAATATAGTAAATTTAATTTTGTTAACTAATCTCAAGACGTGCATAAACTTAATCACATACGGTCGAGCTACTGCTATTTATTTAACAGTCACCTAAATATGAACTAGGTTATTACTATATTATGAGAACATTTTACTGAAGCACTGTACTTTAAATAATAGCTCAACAAAATTATATCAGTTTTGTTTATTTAGTTTGCTTCATTATGATAAACATTCATTCTTGAATTGTAAATTACAGATTTGCTTACGAAAGCACAGTGCTTTACTTTTTGGGGTCAGATAGTTTAAGATCTTTACTTCACTTTACAGTGGTAGCTCAGTAACTCGCTCGCTTGGTAACCGAGTGAAGCGGGTTCAAATCCCGGGTCTCGCACCTGTGATATTTTCAGGTGCGAATCATTTCTAACATAATTACCACTTGTCTTACGATGAAGGAAAACATCGTAAGGAAACTTGCATTGAGCTTAAACATGGATGTCATGAATGATATCCATATTATAGGGTTGCATAAAAACATAGTCAGCCATCTGTGGGAGTCTGCCATATTGGATTTAAATTCAATTACAAGATTCGACCCGAACAATCATACAAACATTGCAAGTTAAAAAGTTTGTAAAAATATAACGTATTTACGTATGCCTTATGCTAAAAGATAAAGGCCTATACACATTATTTATCTACGCTTCACTATGGGGAGGAAGAGCGAGAAAGAGAAAGGGTATGGTTAGGTTCTGATAAATTCTGAACCGAAACATACTGGTACCAATTACATATGTAACTGGTGTATATCGTACATTAAAACGAAATTTGAACATATTGTTACAATACTAATTATATGTACATTTATATAGTCCTTGATACAAATCGAACTTAGGACCCTGAAACATTGTCGACCAAATAAATTCATTAAGCAATAATATAATTGAAACGAAAGCTTTAACAATGATGATTGTCGTTGCGAATGATTTTATAACGCTCATGTGGACGGCTGCGATCTCGTTAGTCCGACTTGTTATTTATATGGAAGATGCGGCATCACGGCCTAATGAGACTTTTATTTATAAAGTTGCTCTCACAATAGGGACTTTAAACTTGCATTGTGCTATTGTTACGTTTCATTTAAAACGAGGATTTTGTGGTACACCGCTATGTAAATTGGACGTTGGTTTCGGAATAAGAGGAACTCGTTAGTGTGAACGTGAGCATCTCTATTTTTATGACTGTGCGTTATCATTTTTAGTATCATGAGATTTAAAATATTTTTTAATGTAGCATTGAGCAAATATTTTATATTTCAATATGTTTTCTCATTAAGATATAAATTAAACCCGTCCAATTTTTTAACCGGTTTTGGTTATTGACTCCAAACTGAGAGGCTTTTTGGGTTTAAGGTTTCGGCTATGTTCTTTAACTGGTTAAATCCGGGAGGACGGATTTTGACGAATTCAGGTAAAATGAGTTTCTGAGTGTTTACATCTGGCGCATCTTGGCTAATGGTGAATGGCTTAGTAGAAGGATACACGCAAGTTTCTTACTTATGAATGAAATATCCGGTTTATTTCGGTATCAAAACCCTAATTTAAACTTTCTCTAAGAATAACCTTTAAGCATTATTATTTCAGCTTACTAAACCGTTCGTTTTCATTCATCGGTTAAAGAACGAGCGATGAATTCATCATTACATTACCGAAATAAGCCGTTTCTTTTAAAATGGTTCCGAGCCCTGATCAGACTAATAAATTGATAGCTGCTTCACAGATCACTAATGATTAAAAGCTTTTTAAAAGCTCAATGTTTAAATATTAGCAAAACGCTAAATAGAATGCTTTAGATAAAAGGTAACATTATGTGGGTTGTTTGGTCAATATGAGAAACACTCTTAATTTTATGTTCATATTATGTAATTTTATATTGTAAAAGTTAAAAACCTAAAATCTTGAATTACAAAGAGCGAAGAAATGTCAAATACTTTTTACTCATATAATATTTACATACTTTTTTGTGATATATTACGATAAAATCTAAGTAAATCCTTTAGTAAAACAATGAAATCATTTTAAATGTACACTTATGATAAAATTCTGAGTCGAATATGTACATTAAATATTTTTGGGAAAATCTTATTGAAATAGTTATATCCATATATTTATTATCTATACAGAGGTCCAATCTATATATAATTTTTACAATTTTTGTCTGTCAGTCTATCTGTCTGGAAAAGCATCACGAGAAAACCCCTGGACGGATTTTGATGAAATATGGTATAGTGATAGCTGGTTGTCCGGGTCAACGTTTAAGATACTTTTTAGTGCTGGAAAATATTTCTCATCTCTGAGAATCCTAGGTATACTAACCATTAAAACGCACCTAGAGACGAACATGAGCATAGCGAGGGTGAGTCTCTAGTCCATTATATTTCTATTCTATTATTATATGAAAAGTTGAAAAATACTTACAGTTTTATTTCCTAAGTTTTTGACTCGACAATTCAAATAGGCGGTCTTTCCAAGCAGGGCTGTGACATTCTTGGAAGCCGCTAAGTCGAAGTAGGGTCCCGTGCGAGGGGTTGGCCGGGGAGCATCAGCTATCGCTACACCTGGTCTTATGACGTTATCAGCTGCAGGAGGTGACGTTGCCGAGGTATTTGTTGGCAATCCTTTGCCAAGTTCACGTTGTGCTGATGATACTGAAGAAAAAAAAACAATGAATGTATATAACTCTCCTTATCGATTTCTGCTTTGCTGTTAAATGGATAGACTGAACTTTTTCTTAAATATCCGGCTACAAGTTGGCATATGGAGGTATAGATAGGTATAAATATATATCGAGGTTCGCTTATTTATCAAGGCTTGTTCTAGTCGATTTGGTAATTTACAGTAAGCACTTGTATAGGATGTTATGAGACTCTTCCGCTAATAGTCTATAAATATTGTACGTATGAAAAAATATCAATCTGGCTAATAATGTTTCTTTTATAATATTTGAGAAAAAAAATATGGAGTGGATATGATTTATACTTTATTATATATTTTCGATTCCATTTCCTGTTCCTCCATAAAGATAAATTTGTGTAATTCAAATAAAAGGCAATCATCATTAGGAGCTCGCCCTTGATGGGCCATGAATATTTTACTAAACAGATCTTTTGTCGTACACTCGTAAAATATTATTACGTTATATTATAATATATAGAAACATCATATTTTTAGTATGGTAGCATAGGTAAATATTATCCCTTAATGAAGTGTTCAGTTACCCATTTATTGGAAATTACAGAATAAAAACTTTTAATATGATAGTATAATCAAAACTATTAAATGAAATAAATTTTGATATCAATACCAATATTACAAATGTAAAAGTATGTTTGTTTATCCTTCTTTCACATTGAAGCAGAGTAACAGATTGGCGTGATTTTTTAAGATTATCATGAGATAATCTTAAAAAATCACGCCAATCGTGGGAATGATCCCACGAGAAAATACGTTATAACACAAAAACCCACAAAAACTCATCATAGCTATGTATATATGTATTATATATCTATTCCATACTAACCGTTAATAAGTACCTAGGGACTAACCCAAGCAAACAAGGGTGAGTAACTAGTATGAATATAAAAATGTTATTGCAATTCTCAAATGTCTATAGGCAGTAAAATCTTTTCACTTCTAGGTCGATTGTCCGACCTAACTCTTATTAGAAATAAAAAACAAGCCATAAAACCGATGCTTTGAAAGAAAATCTGCGTTCTATAGAATAGGCGGGTTTGTTGAAAATAATGAGCTTAAATAACAATACGCTCTTCAAGATACGAGACTTCTATGAAAATGTCAACAGTCATTTGAAATAAAAAATATGTTAGAAAAACTGGCTACAGTAATTCGCTTTTTACTCCATCTATTGATGTAAAGGAGTTTTATTAATCGATCTACGATTGTACCATTTTCAATTTTCCACTACATTGTAACTCGCACATATCTTTTAAAGAATTCTGATATTTTTTTTTAAATATACCACTATTAACTTTCAATTATTATAATGCAAAATATTTTCATGTGCGAATCATTTCTAACATGATTAATGATGATGATAGACCACTGACCGCTTGCTTGTCTTACGGTATATGAAAAAATCGTGAGGAACCCTATGTCTGAAAAAATCTACGTATCGAGTTTTTGGAAAGACATGTGAAGTCCGCCACCCCGCACTTGGTCAGCGTGGTGGACTATCCTGATCCTCCTTGTATTGAAGGGAGGCCCGTGCCCAGCAGTGGGACGTTAAAAAGGATTAAATACACAATACTATTGGTTTTTGTTCAGTTGGCTTACTACGTTAACTATATAAATAAAAATAAATGTTTGTCTGTACTACTACTTTGAATAATATGTCTCTTTGTTGAGTTGTTCTGCATACGACACGCAAAGATTACTGACGAAAAAAAGATTTTTGGGTTTTAAATAAAATTAAAAATAAATAAATCTCTAGTCTCTCCCGTGACCATGATTGCTGTAAAGCATTCAAAACGTCGGGAACCAAAAATCAAAATAAATCCGCGAAATAATCCGAAAAGATAGTTTTATTTAAAATGTCAAATATTCGCGTAAATCTAAGAAAGTATTAGATTTTTGGGTGTGGGTTCTCTTTGCGTTTTTAAACTATTTATCCCCAGGATCTCACCCGACCGTAGTGAGTGTATGCCGCTAAAATAAATATAATTGTCATCCTTCTTACGTAAGAGTAAAATAAGTGGATTGGTAATGGTTACACAGCATGACTTGAATTTTGAAGGGATTCGCAATTCGCAAGTAACATGTTCTCAGGAAATATTTTTGGACAGAATATCTTACATAAATAATAGAATTGAAACATATATACCATAAAGTAATAAGCAAGATATTTCTTGTACTTTTTTAGACTAATTTTTAAAAGCACAGTTGACAAGGATACGTAAAACCTACAAAATTACTTTCTGATACAGGAGGAGGATGACCTTTACTAATGGAAAAGGAATTATAAGTGAATTTTATAAAATATATAACGAAAAAATAATAATTTCCTAAAATAATAGACCTTTTAATCGAAATAAATTAAACGTTTCGTTTATATATATATATATATATATATATATATATATATATATATATATATATATATTTCATGGTTCTATATATTATGCTTCTATATGAATACAATGACCCATGTTTGAACACCCTCATATTACGTTTTAGGCCCGTCTAAACATAATATTTACTTTACAAATGCCTTTTATAGCAAGTGCTTTTATCCACACACTTGGCTGAGAATTAGGACGAAGAAAAAGTGTTGTTAAATAGTATAATTGGGGCAAATTTTATTTATGGATTTAAAGAATAAAAATTATAATTTAATAAGTCATACGTGTATTTCTTTTTTTACCCAGTTGCGGCGGCTTGAAAGAGGGTTATATGTTTGACCTGTATGTATGTATAATCTTATGTTTTCTCATAATTACTGAATGGCTTAAGCGATTTTTATGATTCATAGGTCGTTAGATTTGTCTCGATAAACTGAATATCGTATACCGCCCTATTTGGATATTATTACAAATGAAAAAGGCGGATAGCAGGCGCTAATTCTAATAATTAACTCAATTTTTAGGTCTAAAATTAGATAAAATCTAAATAAATCATTTTGATGAGTGTAACAAGCCGAAGCATCTTTACTCGTTAGAAATGGTGGTCTCAATGTAAGAAAAAGATAAATGTTACTTTCAAAACATTTGGCTACTCTGCACGTCTCAATACAGTATTTGAAAGCTTCGTTTTCAAAATTTCGTATTTAGAAAAACTATAAAAAGTGGAAAATAAAATATCTTATTAACAACATACAAAAATATAAAACGATTTTAGATACTATATTGGTTTATTTTATCCATTTGGATCCAGTCCTAATAATAAAATAATACCATACTTAGTATCATTAGCCGAAAAATGTTGCATTTGTCATATCTACAATTAATCTACAGTCATAACTATGAAAGAGAAAAAATAATTGTCTTTCGTGGTCAGTCTGTGGACGTGAGTGTAGTTAACTAACAATGAGATGGCAATTGGCTCGTCCATTAAGTGTAGTCTCTGACTCCATTTCTGAGCCGTGTTCGTGAAGAGCACTATCTACAATATCTATACATATAATAAAATTGTAACTAAGACGAATCTTCACATTAAATATTTTTTGGAAAATCTTATTGAAATAAACATTATTATCAATACAGCGGCCGAATCTATAGTTTTTAGAATTTTTGTCTGTCTGTCTGTCTGTCTGTCTGTCTGTATGTCTGTTACTGCATTACAGAAAAACCACGTGAGGGATTTTGATGAAATTTGGTATTGTGATAGTTGGTTATCCAGGTCAACATATAGGATACTTTTTACCGCGGGAAAATGTCCCATTTCTGAGAAAAAATACAAAAACTGCAATGTAAGAGTATACTAATATGTAAAACCTAAGAATTTGGTTTTTGGTCATCAACGCGGGCGGAGCCGCAGGAAATGCTAGTTTTAATATAATATTTAAAATACTTTGGTAAATATTGTAAATATTATAACACTAGCAACTCACCCTCGCTTCGACGGGTTCGTTCCTAGGTGATCTTTAAATTGACATAACTTTTTTTATTTATGAACTGAGTAAAATAAATCAAATATTAAATGTTAAGTAAAGCTTATCACAACACATTAGTGAAAACCGCACGCAAATCGGTTAAGCCATTTCTGAGATTAGCGCGCACAAACGCAGAGAAAAATTCTAAAAATCATTGTTTTGGGTTCTATTGCGGTAATAAAGACACCCAATAATAGTTTTTCTCAAATATATTAATTACATGTACAGACAGCGATCAGTTACAATTTTATTATGTGTACATAGATAGGTATATAGATAAATATGTATAGATTTGCTTATACCTATATTAAAGTATAGATTTGATATATTACATTTCATTTTATTATTTACTACCATTTCTTTACTAGTGATTTACTCATATATAAACTATAGATTCGGTCTCTGTATCGATAACAAAGTCTATTTCAATAAGAATTAAAAAAAAATATTTAATGTACAGATTCGGCTTAGTTACAATTTTGTTATATATATAGATAGGGCTTCATGACGCACATTCAATGCCACTCAAAGTGAACTCATCGAGTATAGCTCATTAAGTATTGATTTAAAGGTTCAATTAATTATGCACGTTGATGAGGGTATGATAACGGTAAACAAGTAGTGATAATTATTATCGAGAAGTTATGTCGACGTGTGCTTACTATTATTTGACGACACGTTTGGCTCAGTTTGTAGTGATCCTACTTGCTGTGCCAGCGGTCGCGGGTTCGAGTCCCGATAGGGGCATTCATTTGTGTAATGAGCACGAATGTGTGTACTCTAGTCATGGGTGTTTATATTTATAATATGTATGTATTTAAAACTATAGATGTGGAGTGTATGAACTATCTGGTATCCATAACACAAGCCTCGTAGCTTACCATGGAACTAGATGGTGATGTGTGTTAATGTCCCAATATATTTATATTCATTTGGTATTTTTCGGTAAGTGCATTACTGAATAACATCTATAAAAATGTCCGTATGTGTGCTATTCACACATGGTAGAAGTGAAACTTCAGAAAAGTAACCTACGAGAGA